CATTCCCTATTCTGCTCTGTGTCAGTGTGTATCAGGGGCTCTGAGGACAGGTGTCAATCCATATCTGCCAAGTGACCCTATGTAGGGGGAACAGTCTCTATTCTGCTCTGTGTCAGTGTGTATCAGGGGCCTTGAGGACAGGTGTCAATCCATATCTGCCAAGTGACCCTATGTAGGGGGAACAGTCTCTATTCTGCTCTGTATCAGTGTGTATCAGGGGCTCTGAGGACAGGTGTCAATCCATATCTGCCAAGTGACCATATGTAGGGGTAACAGTCTCTATTCTGCTCCATGTCAGTGTGTATCATGGTCTCTGAGGACAGGTGCCAACTAATCCACATCTGCCAAGTGACCCAAATGTAGGGGGAAATAAACTCTATTCTGCTCTGTGTCAGTGTGTAATCATGGTCTCTGAGGACAGGTGTCAATCCACATCTGCCAAGTGACCCTATGTAGGGGGAACAGTCTCTATTCTGCTCTGTGTCAGTATGTATCATGGTCTCTGAGGACAGATGTCAATCCATATCTGCCAAGTGACCCTATGTAGGAGGAACAGTCCCTATTCTGCTCTGTGTCAGTGTATCAGGGATCCCTAGGACAGGTGTCAATCCATATCTGCCAAGTGACCCGATGTAGGGGGAACAGTCTCTATTCTGCTCTGTGTCAGTGTGTATTATGGTCTCTGAGGACAGGTGTCAATCCATATCTGCCAAGTGACCCTATGTAGGGGGACCAGTCCCTATTCTGCTCTGTGTCAGTGTGCATCATGGTCTCTGAGGACAGGTGTCAATCCATATCTGCCAAGTGACCCCATGTAGGGAACAATTCTGCTCTGTGTCAAAGTGTATCATGGTTCTGAGGACAGGTGTCAATCCATATTCGCAAGTGACCCTATGTAGGAGGAACAGTCCCTATTCTGCTCTGTGTCAGTATGTATCAGGGATCCTTAGGACAGGTGTCAATCCATATCTGCAAAGTGACCCTATGTAGGGGGAACAGTCTCTATTCTGCTCTGTGTCAGTGTGTATCATGGTCTCTGAGGACAGGTGTCAATCCATATCTGCCAAGTGACCCTATGTAGGGTAACAGTCCCTATTCTGATCTGTGTCAGTGTGTATCAGGGGCTCTGAGGACAGGTGTCAATCCATATCTGCCAAGTGACCCCATGTAGGAGGAACAGTCCCTATTCTGCTCTGTGTCAGTGTGTATCAGGGATCCCTAGGACAGGTGTCAATCCATATCTGCCAAGTGACCCTATGTAGGAGGAACAGTCCCTATTCTGCTCTGTGTCAGTGTGTATCAGGGGCTTTGAGGACAGGTGTCAATCCATATCTGCAAAGTGACCCGATGTAGGGGGAACAGTCTCCATTCTGCTCTGTGTCAGTGTGTATCATGGTCTCTGAGGACAGGTGTCAATCCATATCTGCCAAGTGACCCTATGTAGGGGAACAGTCCCTATTCTGCTCTGTGTCAGTGTGTATCAGGGATCCTTAGGACAGGTGTCAATCCATATCTGCCAAGTGACCCTATGTAGGGGGAACAGTCTCTATTCTGCTCTGTGTCAGTGTGTATCATGATCTCTGAGGACAGGTGTCAATCCATATCTGCCAAGTGACCCTATGTAGGGAACAGTCTCTATTCTGCTCTGTGTCAGTGTGTATCATGATCTCTGAGGACAGGTGTCAATCCATATCTGCCAAGTGACCCTATGTAGGAGGAACAGTCCCTATTCTGCTCTGTGTCAGTATGTATCAGGGATCCTTAGGACAGGTGTCAATCCATATCTGCCAAGTGACCCTATGTAGGGGGAACAGTCTCTATTCTGCTCTGTGTCAGTGTGTATCATGGTCTCTGAGGACAGGTGTCAATCCATATCTGCCAAGTGACCCTATGTAGGGGAACAGTCTCTGTTCTGCTCTGTGTCAGTGTGTATCATGGTCTCTGAGGACAGGTGTCAATCCATATCTGCCAAGTGACCCTATGTAGGGGGAACAGTCTCTATTCTGCTCTGTGTCAGTGTGTATCATGGTCTCTGAGGACAGGTGTCAATCCATACCTGCCAAGTGACCCTATGTAGGGGAACAGTCTCTATTCTGCTCTTTGTCAGTGTGTATCAGGGATCCTTAGGATAGGTGTCAATCCATATCTGCCAAGTGACCCTATGTAGGGGGACCAGTCCCTATTCTGCTCTGTGTCCGTGTGCATCAGGGGCTCTGAGGATAGGTGTCAATCCATATGTCAAGGTGTCAATATGTCATATGTCAGGTGTTAATCCATATTCATTGTGATTTAGGAATTTTAGGTGATTTCTGCCCTTTATGGATTAAAACCAGACTCTGCATCAACTGTGTAATTTTCCATGGGAGTTTTACCATGGATCCCCCTCCGGCATGCCACAGTCCAGGTGTTAGTCCCCTTGAAACAACTTTTCCATCCCTATTGTGGCCAGAAAGTCCCTGTGTGCCTGCCCATTGAAGTCTATGGCGGTTCGCCCGGTTCGCCGGTTCGCGAACATTTGCGGAAGTTCGCGTTCGCCGTTCGCAAACCGAAAATTTTGTGTTCGCGACATCACTACTTAAAATATATATGGTGGATCCTAAAGCGGATAATAAAATAGAATAGTATAGAATAATATATTATAAGATATAAAATCCCAAAATTATAATAGATACCAAGAAAATAGTTACCAAGAAAATTGTTACCAAGAAAATAGTTGGAGGGAGTTAGCACAATAAATACAAGATAGTAAAAATAGGAGATAAAAATTAGAACAAAGGTACAGTGGGAAAATCAGCTATCTTAAAAAGTCTACGTTAACACCTTCAGGTACTAAGGTGTTGAGGGAAAAAATTTTGCCTCTGCTTGATCCCGATTCTTTTCAAGATCCCCCCTCTCCAATTTATATCGACTTTCACTATAGCTATAAATTCTATGCCTGTCGGGTCACCGCCATGTACCTCCTTAAAATGTCTTGATAGGTTGTGTATAAGTAACCCTCTTCTGATGTTTCTGACATGTTCAGCAATCCTTATTTTGAGTTGTCTCTTTGTTCTTCCTACATAATGCTTCAGGTATGAACATTTGATGAGATAGGTGACTCCTGCAGTGTTACAGGTCGTCTGCAACCTCAGCTTGTACTTCTTCGAGTCTTTTAGACCTGTAAATGATGTACTGATAGCTGCCTGAGTAGGATTATTCCGACAACCTGAGCCTTTTTTACATCTTCGAAACGCTTTCACGTCGTTATCCTCTTCCATGGAGTTTGTAGATTTTAGGGTTGGAGCAAACAGTAATTTCAGATTTGGAGCTTTTGTGAAGATAAACTTAGGTTGTTCATCTAGGAAATCTGAGAGTATTGGGTCACTCTTATGGATACCCCAATGTTTCTTGAGAATGCTCTGCAATATACTTGATTGATTGTTGTATTTGGTAATGAGGGCAGGGGTTTAGTTTTCATATTGGATGGGTGGTTTCTTGTTTTGTAAAGTGTCTTCCCTTGGTATGGCCATTGCTTTATCCATTGATTCTTCTAGCAATGAAATTGGATAACCTTTTGCCATAAACCTTAGTTTCATTTCCTCCATTTGTTCTATACACACGTCGGGTTGTGAACAATTTCGTCTTACTCTTCTAAATTGGCTTTGGGGAATAATCCTAAACCATGTAGGTTTATGGTGACTTTGGTAAGGAATGAAACTGTTACAATCCACGCTTTTTTTGAAGGTTTTCGTGTGCAACTTATTCTCTTCAATGTATATACAAAGGTCAAGAAATTATATCTGTTCAGTTAAATGAGTGAACGTAAAATTCAAGTTGTAGGGGTTACAATTTAAATACGTTTTAAAATCT